GCTGATATTTTTTTGACAGTGTGGAATAATCAACTTCTAGCTACACTTTTTGGAAATGTCCTATGACCATGCTTGCCTAGTGTGTTTTGGTCGAATGGGATTTATATCTAAAAATCACAATGTAATAAATTATTCATTGAGTTTCATTGGAAGCGGACACAAAAAAATCACCAAAATGACAAGTGCTTGAATAACTTTAATAAACAAAGTATGAAGTGTAAGCTGAAAGATTTTTGGCAGTGTGGAATGCTTGTGATCTAGGTATACTTTTTGACAGTGTGTTGTGTCCTATGTTTTGGCCAGTGTGCTATGTTGCACAATTTTACATAATGTTGCAGTGTATGCTGCTTACAAAGTCTTAAAATTTACAACATAATACCTTCATTATCCGTTTTTTTTCACTACCACATAAATGAAATTCAACATATGTCTAATACTAACATCTTCTAACATTATTCAAAATCAACAAAGATCAAAAAAAGCCAAGCCCATGTTTGGCCAGTGTGTTTTGGTATAATAGATTATTCATGAAATCAGTCATACATTTTTGAGCAGTGTGAAATTCATAAATGAAAACAATCATATACATTTTTGGCAGTGTGGAATTCATACATGAAAATAGTGTGGAATTCATACATAAAAAGAGCTATACATTTTTTGGGCAGTGTGGAATTCAAAGATGAAATTAGTCATACATTTTTTGACAGTGTAGAATTAATACGTGAAATCACTGCCACATAAATCAATGAACATTACACTACAACATGAAATTAAGGAACACAATAATACATTTACACATCGCCGTAAGATATAACAACATATATTCATTCTACACTGCCACATAAAAAACTCACATATAAAAAACTACACTGTCCACTACACAATTACGAGTGAACAACCACACTGCCCAAAATAATCATATTTTTTGGCAGTGAATAATGAACATATACTGTTTAATTAAAGGACAAAATCGGAATTACATGTATGAAACATATAGCACTGCTATTTAGAGTATTTTAATGCTTTTAGAGTGCTATTTTGGTTTTTCTCCCTTAATCTTTTAAACTTATAGTTCTACATGATTTCTGTTCGTGTACAGATAAATGCTGTTTTCTATATGAATTAGGTTTTTTTTTATATTAAATATATAATTGGAGATGAATTTTTTTTGATATCACATACAGTACAATCGGCCTGGACCATAATACAATCTAAAGATTTTTAATTTTCCGTTTTGCAATTTTTTTTATTCTGTAAAATTGAATGGTCCAGTTAAATATGCCACCTATGTATGCTATATGAAATCTAAAATTATAATCTATGAACTTTGAAATATGAATCGTAATCCCTGTTGTTTATCCGATCTAATTATTCTTTAGCAAGTAAAATTGAAACCCATTATCGCGATTTATTTTTGCTTCGTTCTATATATTTATGTTTGAAATCCATGATTGTTTATCTATCTATGCTTCGGTCTATAAAGGTTTTTTGGTTTCTTAATAAGATGTCAACAAACAAATGTTGTACTGGTTCAGATCGCAACTAAGATCTCTTAATATTAGTTAATGTTTTTGCACTAAGTGTGTTGCATTTGCCTTAAGTAAATTAGAAACATGGGCCACTTGTTTGTTGTTTGCATAGGATCTGATCCACTATGAATGACTTGATGCTAATAAAATAATAATAATAATAATAATAATAATAATAATAATAATATTAATAATAATAATAATAATGTTATTGAACAAAATTTTGATCTCGTGTACCTCAAACTACACATTTTTTTTTTCCTGGACTAAAGGGAAATTTGTAATTTTACCAATTTTCTAGAAGTGAATTGGTCTAATGATATTTTAATTGTTTATGAGACATAAAAGTTTTTCGATTGTGAATATGTTAAAAGCTTTCCTTTTCACTCTCGAAATTTACTATAGAAAATCAACTTGAAAGTCATTTTTTTTGAACCATTAGTTCTTGCAAACTAGAACCTGAAGTTCTCCAAGAATGTATTTTTTTTATATGCTCTAACTTGTCTTAATACACTTTTTCTTGGTAGTTAAAATGTCAAACCTTTCAAAATTTGATTTTCTTGAACTCGACATATCTGGGAAAAACTTTCTCACATGGACCTTAGATTCGAAAATTCACCTTACGGCAAAGAATCTAGGAGACACAATCTCTGAAGGAAATGAAGCTTCTGTTCAACATAAGGCAAAGGCCATGATATTCCTCCGTCATCACCTCCACGAAGACCTGAAAAAGGAGTATCTCACCATTGAAGATCCCCTCGAATGGTGGAAAAGCATTCAAGAGCGCTTTAATCACCAGATGTTGATCTTACTGCCAAAGGCTCGTTATGAATGGCTCCATCTAAGACTACAAGATTATAAATCAGTCTCTGAGTACAATTCTGCACTTTTCAGCATCACCTCCGTCCTGAAGTTATGCGGAGAACCAATAACTGATAAAGAAATGCTTGAAAAGACTTTTTCTACGTTCCATACATCTAATATTAATCTGTCGGAGCAATACAGAGAACGTAAATTCACTAAGTA